CCGACCGACAAGAACTCTCTGATTGCAACCTTATCCCGAACAAAATGGTAATCAATCTCAACATGCTTGTACCAATAATATAATACTACTAACATTTACAACCTACTTAAACTCAAATGCAGAATTGGATATCATTCCCCTCACAAATTTAAACATATATTCTTCCAAGTTTCTTTCTTAGAATACATTCTCTAAACCACTAACTTCCTCTCTTTGTTTTTTTTTTTTAATTATTTTATTTTTATTTTTATTTTTTATGAAAGAAAACACTTCCGCCTCTAAGTCATCCGAGTTCACCAAACTCCTTTAAACTTCTTCACAATGTACACAATCAACTTCAATAACATCCTGAATATTAAATAGCCATCCAACTTCTACTCCGTTTGTGGTGGGATGTGAAATTTCAAAAAAAGCCACATAATAAACAGATGTTTAATGCCAAAGTTACTGAAAGTTTGAATTGTCTACGTTTAAAACAATTGAATGACAAAATTTCTTAAAATTGACAATTGAGGACAAAATTGCATAACAATACATAAGTGAAGGATTAAAAGTCTGATTTTCCATAATAACAACAACAACAACAACAACAACAAGAGGACATTTTATTTTGAGTTAATCACCATTTTACTCCCTCAATTGTTTCCCAATTATGAATATAGTTCATAGTTTTCAATTTCAATCAATTTAATCATTGAATTGTTTAAAATTTCGTCAATTAAACCCTTTTAGGAACCAAAATGGTAATTTCCACATTTGTAAAATTTCGTCAATTTGGTCATTGAAAGGGTTTAATTGACAAAATTTTAAACAATTCTAGAATCAAATTAATTTAAATTGAAAACTATGAACTATATTGACAATTGAGAAACAATTGAGGGACTAAAATGTTGATTTTTCCTTTTATTTTTATATATCATTATTATAACAATCAAATTAGTGTAAACAAAAGAAACTGATGGCATTTCTTTATATTCTTTGTTTTTTTTTCTTTTTAAAAAAACAAAATTTTTACAACTCTTTTCTCTTTTGTGGTAAGAAATACTCGTAAAATATAATAAGATTTACTTAATTTGATTTTTTTTTCTTCTTTTCAATCATTAAAAAAATTTGATAATATTATTTTTTGATCATCACCCTAAAAAATATGGATGTCATATTAGAATTGTCCTAATAATGACTTTGCTTCATTTTGCTTAAATCAAACATTGTCCTATGTAGCACACATTTTAATTTTCGATTCGAAAACTATATTGCTCCCATTAGAATACATTTTTTTGTTTTTTGGGAAGAAATGGGAGGGGATGACCATGAAAATCTAGTTACTACTCTTAAGAGTAGTCAACAAAACACTATCATTCACCAGAAAATCTCTAATGCTATCTGGGGGAGCATTAAACTCGATTTAGTCGCACTGCCCTCGAGGAGCAGCCTTGGCCAACCAGTCAACTGCGCTATTGAACTCGCGAGGTGAATAGTCAATCTTAGCCACCCAGTCCTTAGTGAGCCATTCCTTGCACAACATCGTGATATGGTCACACGAACCCAATGGCTCAGGGCCCTTATTGAGCCCGTTCACAACTTGAAGAGAATCGCTGAAGATATGCAGCTTCTTCGTACCAGTAGCCCACGCCCATTGAAGACCCATATATTCCATTGCACTGTTCGTCTTCGTTGTGCAGCTGAAGCCCCCAATCTAGGTAAATTATGCCGTGGAAACGTGTTCACCATGCTTGGTGAACACGGTCCCAAACGGCATCGTTTTTACCGGAAAAAAAAAATTTAGTTAATGTGCTGTTAACGACGTTTTGCATTCTATGTTCAGATTATGAATTTACATTTATTAAATTATGAATTTTTTGTTATGAGCTTATAAATTTATAGTTATGTAATTATGAATTTTCTGTACATTCATAATCTCATAACAGAAAATTCATAATCTCATAACAGAAAATTCATAATTTTATAACAGAAAATTCATAATCTGATAAAAGAAAATTCATAATTTCATAACTGCACATTCATAAATCCACGCATGCACATTCATAATTTATGAGTGTTGAAGAAACTTGCGCGAAGAGGAAGTGAAACCCCAAAATGTTAATATGAAGAAGAAAAGTCGCGTTGTTAATTAAAAAAAAAAATAGTGGAAGATAACTGTGCCGGTAGACACCGTTACTGTTTGGGACTGTGTTCACCATGGATGGTGAACACGGTTCCATGGCATAACGATTGCCCAATATAGTAGTCGCCATCATGAGTGCGCGTGACACACCACCACATCCCGTAAAAAAAATTATTTTTGGCCCCTTGAGGTAAAAGAACTACCCAGATTTTAGTCGCTTGATGCAACCTCTGATGCAGTGTTCAACATCTTCTTCCGGCTCGTTGCAGTTGGGACATTATATTGCGAAGAACTGGTGAATCCTCTACGTCGCCTTTCATAGTTTGTTATTAGTCTTTTATGTTTAACAAGCCAGATGAATTGAATGCACAGATTCTATTGGGGACCTTCAGTCTCCAAATCGCACTCCAACTCTCCACAAGCAGATGAAACGGAAAAGCGCCCATTGCTCTCCGGGCTCCAGAAGATATTATCATTCACTCCATCGCTTCTCCGAACCCCTTCAAGCATAATTGGGTTTGGCATCGCAAATTCCTTTCCAAAGATTAGATCCTTCAAGCAGAATTGTGTCCACTTTTCAATCAAAGACGTAAACAAGTTCTGAGTCACTCTACCGTGGATGGACGGAACACTGTGGAAAACTCAATTGCTCATGAGTGTAAAAGTGATAATCAGAGAAAGGAGGATGGTGTGCATTATTGATGAATTGAGAAGAGTACAAAGCTTAGCTTGAAAAGGAAAGAGAACCACTGTTATATACAAACTGCAGTGGCAGTTATAACAGAAATGGGAAGGGGAGAAAAGACAATAAAGTCCTCCTTGATTGAGAGCATCCATCATCAACTAAGTATGCTGAGTATGCTTCATCACCCCCCCCCCCCCCCCCGTAAGCTGGAGCATGAACATCTTGAAGGCCCAGCTTAGAGTGGAAGTTGTCAAACAGCAATATTGGCAGTGCCTTGGTGAAGCCATCAGCAAGCTGTTTTTGTGAAGGAACTGACATTAGCTTTATAATCCCTTCATACACTTTCTGCTTAACAACATGACAATCTATCTCAATATGTTTAGTTATTTCATGAAAGACATGATTCTCCCCAATAGCAATTGCAGATTTGTTATCACAAAATAGAGTAGCGGGGCTGTTAGGCTTGACTTTCAGATCTGCAAGCAAATATAAGAGCCATTGGACCTCACAAACAGTGGATGCTAGGGCCCTATACTCAGCTTCAGAAGATGATCTAGAGACAGTAGCTTGTTTCTTTGTCTTCCAAGAGATTAAGGACTTGCCAAGATAAATGGAATAGCCTGTAACAGACTTTCTGGTTTCTGCACAAGTAGCCCAATCAGAATCAGAGAACCCTTGTAGCTTTATTTGAGAGTTTGCTGGATAAAACATCCCTTTTCTAGGAGACCCTTTCAAGTACCTCAACACTCTGTGAGCAGCCATAAGATGAGTGTTTCTAGGCTTGTCAACATACTGGCTTAACTGCTGAACTGCATATGTGATTTCAGGTCTGGTGTTTGTCAAGTATAACAGCTTCCCAACCAGTGTTCTATAAACTTCTGGCTTATCAAGTGGTGTTCCCTCAAGAGAACTGAGTTTCTGGCCTGCAGTAATGGGAGTCTTTGCAGGTTTAGCATCCATGAAGCCATACTCCTTTAGGATTTCTAAGGTGTATTTTCTTTGGCAAATGTTGAGACCATTAGTAGATCTGAATGCTTCAATCCCCAGAAAGTAATTCAGATGTCCAAGATCTTTGATCTTGAATGTCTTATCCAAGAACTGTTTCAATCTATCAATCTGTGATGAGTCTGTCCCTGCAACCAATATGTCATCTACATAGATGAGAAGAGCCATAAATGAAGTGTCTGATGCTTTGGTAAACAGAGATGGATCTGCTGTGGACTGTTGGAAACCATTATCTTGCAATGCCTTAGTCAATTTAGCATTCCACTACCTGCTAGCCTGTTTTAGGCCATATAAAGATCTAAGCAACTTGCAAACTTGGTGCTTATTATTTTGAAAACCATGGGGTGAAATCATGTATACTTCCTCATCTAGATCTCCATGCAAAAATGCATTATTGATGTCTAATTGTTGGATGTCCCATCCTTTTGCAACTGCCACAGCTAGGAAGGTTCTAATTGTTGTCATTCTAGCCACAGGAGAAAATGTTTCAACATAGTCCACTCCTAGCTGCTGAGTGTCCCTTTGCCACCAATCTAGCCTTGTGTCTTTCTATGGAACCATCAGCTCTATGTTTCACCTTGTACACCCATTTGCAACCAATTGGGGTTTTTCCTGGTGGTAGGTCTGTAAGCACCCAAGTTTTATTTTCAACCAATGCATTTATTTCACATTGCATTGCTTTCCTCCATGCCTCTTCTTTAACTGCTTCATTATATGACTGTGGCTCTTGTGCGGTCAGAATGGAGGTTGCACAGACCCTATGGCTTGGGATAGGCCCTCATAGGATATCACCTTGTTGATTGAGTGTGGCGATGACCTGCTGTGGTAACTGCCTGTACTCAATGAATGGCAATAGTAATCTTGCAACCTTGCAGGTATGTGTCTTGTTCTTTCTGATCTTCTTGGTTCTGAGTGTAACCTTGCAGGTACATCTATTTGAACTGCTCCATCTTGTATCATTGTGTTACCATGTTAGGAATATATTGTATAAGTTTTGATGAGCCAAATGTATTTTGTAGACCCCAATTTTATTTCATTTGAGTCAGTTCTGGTTCACAAAGTATAGTGCACCACTGCCATGAAGCTTACATGAAGTCTACGTGAAAGCAGTTTGAAGGAAGAATAAATGAAAGCGGGATCATAGCTTAACACATTTATGAAGCATCAAGTCACCAAAGGTTGAGATGGTAGAAGACTTGTTGAAGCATGCCTAATGTGAGATGATCTACAGTTTGATTCCTATTGGAAGCACATTTGGTGTAAAGATGAATTGCTATCGTGAAGTAGCAATATCATGATAGTATTACTATCATGAAAGAACAATTTTATATCATGATAGTTAAAATTATCGGATGATGATGTCACTACTATCGGGTGATGACGTCACAGTGTGGTATGGCTAGTGGAGAACACGTCGAAGAGACAAGACAAAAGAATTTAAGTCTTGGATTATATCAATGGGTTACTTAGCCGAGATGGAAGAAGCCTTACCAAGCAAAGCAAATGGTCCACAATTCGATTCCCACCTGAAGCAATTTTATGAAAACATGATATTGGTCCATGATATAAAATGAAACATGATATCTGGTCCATGATACAAGGTGGAACATAATAGCTAGCTCATGATATGAAATGGAACATGATATATATAGTCCATGATACAAGGTGGAACATGATATATACTCCATGATACACTATTGGGACATGACATCATCAAAAGGAGCTATGACATCATGATAGAATTAGACAGAAACATTTTTTTGAAGCTCTGTTTCTGCAGAAGAAGTCGAAGGAGAAGAAGAAGCTGATATACGAAGGAAATCTTTTTAATACTCAAGCAAGAATCAGCAGATAAATTATTTGATCAACTTGGCACATCAGATCAATAATTCAACAAAAGTCATGCCAGAGAAATTCAAATTTGGAGGCTACCCATTCCAAGGAAAAGCTTTGTCAGATTAAAGAGGAGCAACGACAAATTTATTCAAATCTTCTGACAGACGGCGAAATGACTTTGCAGACCAAGTTGGCAAAATTATTTGATCAACTACAATTCAAAATGGACGATCAAGATCGAAAGTTGATCAACGGGCAAATAGTTTTCATTGGCTATAAAATGCCCAAGCAGACTTGAAAACAAGCACGGATTTACAAAAAACGAATTCTACAATCATCAAGTGGTATATTGAGCTATATAAGATAGAATTCAAGTCTGAGAGAAGAAATCTTTGTATTTCATTGTAAATCTTCTACTGAGTGTAGAAAAGGGGTAGAGTAACTGGAGAGAGTGAAAAACCCAGTTGGAGTGTAGCTTTGTGCATAACACTCAGTTGTAAAGGGTAGAGTAACAAGGGGAACTTGTGAAAACCCGGTGAGAGCGTAGCTTTGTGCGTAGTTCTCGTGGTGTAGGAGTACAGCTTGGTGCGAAGTACTCGGGAAGGCGAAGTAACAAGAGGAGCTTGCGAAAAACCTTGGTGGAGTGTAGCTTTGTGCGAAGCACTCGGAGAAGTGTCGTTGGGCACTTATTCACTATTGTATCTGGGTTGATCGAAGAATAGTGAATTTCCTCCTTGAAGTGAAAGGAGAAGAGTGGACTAGGAGGATTACACCACCTCTGAACCACTATAAATCTCTCTCTCTCTATTTACTTACTGCTCATTTAATTTCGTGCATGCTTATACCAACTGTGAACTAACCCGTTACGGTTTATTGCGTATCTTTATCTGTCTGGGTTTGATAGTTTCCTCGTTTGCATGCAAGTGAAATTTTATATACATCATCCTACATCTATATTAAGTGTTTCTAACGTGATGCATGTATAGAATCTCTCTTTGAGCACTACACAATTAAAGCATAACACTTTGCTGTTACATTTTCCGCTGTGCACACTCTAAGTTGTTATACTTGTTTATGCTTGTTACTTAGAGTTGAAGTTACCAAAGTGTTGTTTGCAAAAGAAGTTGAAAAAGCGAGAGAAGTCTATTCACCCCCCCCCCCCCTCTAGACTTCTCGCCACCCTTTCGGGACCAACAAGTGGTATCAGAGCCAGGTTGTCTATTTGAGTCATTTCTTGACTGCTAGGCAGATCTCGAAACTTCAAGATGAAGGGAGATATGGTTCTCGCTCAAAATTTGCTTTTCTCACTTGATAAATTTGATGATTGGAAAATACGTATGCAGGTGCACTTATCTGCTTTAAATGACGAAATGTGGGAAGTCATCACAAATGGCCCTATCCAAATTATGGAAGCTAATACCGCTACCCCACGTGATCCAAATGCTCCACGATATATTCCAAAGCCAAAAATGGAGTGGACAAAGGAAGATAGAGGACGAAATAACTTGGACAATATTGCCAAGGACATTTTGTTCAAAACGGTCGATGACACCATATTCCCAAAGATTCGAAAGTGCACCACAGCAAAAGAAATATGGGATACTCTGATTAGTATCGGTGAACGCGACGAACAAGAAAAAGACAACAAACTAACCATTGCCATGAAGAGGTTCGAAGATTTCAAAATGCTACCAAACGAAAGCATCACCGACATGGAAGCTCGATTGATCAAAATACTTGGAGAAATCACGGATCTGGGAAAGACCATTACCCAGAAGGAAATATCGCTCAAAGTGTTACGCGGACTACCTACAAATTGGGATATGAAGGTGACCGCAATGCGCGATCATAGAGATCTAAGGACATTATCTACGGATAAACTCTTTAGTGATCTAAAGGCGTATGAGTTCGAGATGAAGACACGAAATGAAGAAGAACGTGATGAACGAACATCCGCACTGATGGCCGAACAACCTTCCTCATCAAGGTCAGTCGTAAATAAAGATTTTTTATCTGACGAACAATTTTCCTTATTTGTTAGGAAATTCAAGAAGTTCATGCGAAAGAACAAAGGATCACGACAAGGAAATTCTTTTCGAGAGAATAGAAGATCAAGAAGGGAACCGGTCGAAGATAACACAAATGTGTGTTACAATTGTAGAAAGCCTGGACATTTTATGGCCGAATGTCCACATCCCAAGGTGAACAAAAATTCGAATACTTCTAACTCTCCACAGGTTGAGTACAAGTCGAAAGAGAAGAAATTCAAAAAGGACAAATGGAAGGCACTAATAAGCGATCCGTTAGAAGCAAGTGAATCCGAAGAGTCATCTAGTGACAAGAGTGATTCATCACAAGAAGATACGGCGCTACTATGTCTAGTGGGCAAAACATCCGAACATGAGGAATGCTATATGGCGCGTGAAACCGACGAAGAGGTATCTTCTAGTTCTTTTAGTTCCTTTAGTTCCGTTGACACTTTTTTCGAGACTCAAGAATCATTTCAAAGTCTTATGGAAGATTGTCAAAAGGTCATGGACACTCATACTCAAATCAAAGAGCGCAATAATACGTTAATTCTTGAAAATGAAGAAATGTCACAAAAATTGCAAAATGCTCTAAATGAAATGAGTAATTTGAAAGCCGAAAATGTTCGACTTCAAGAAGAGTGTAAAGCTAGAGAGGTTAGAGAACATAACCTTCGGGAAGTAATCGCATCATTTACGCATTCATCCAAAATAATGGATAAAATGGTAAGCATGCAAAAACCCGCTGGAGATAAAGCCGGACTAGGCTATGATCCATCATGTTCTAAAACCCCTCAAAAGTTGACTAATTCTACTACTACTTTAATCAATAAAGTTCCAGTGGTAAAATTTGTGAAAAGTCAACATAGCACAATGAGACAAGGAGTTGGAAACAAAATTAATGCCCAGAAAATTGTTGCAAGGCCGAATCAACACAATGATATCTTGGCAAGACAACAAAATTTTAAAAGGCAAAAATTTGTATCTCAAAAGAGAACCAACGAGTCTAGTGCAATAAAACCTCATAGGAATATGGGAAGAATTCCGAGAATTGGGGCTGGGAGATTATATCCCTCAGAAGACGATTGGTCGCTTGAAGACAAACCATGGACCAAGTCCAGATTTGCTCTATTTCATAGAATCAAGCAACTATCAGCTTCCCAACCCGCACCGAATCATTATTCGAAAGTGCATTATGATTATAAAGTTTTCAATGGTTACAAATCACCTACCTACTCTTGGATCAGTGGGATCTAGGTGGATTTGGATGCCAAAAATTACTAACACAAAATGACCCAATCAAGCATGGGTACCTAAAAGTAATTAATCTTTTTTGCAGGAAGTTTGGTATTTCGATAGCGGATGCTCTCGACATATGACCGGCAATAAAGCTAGTCTAGTTGAGTTCAAAAGTATCGAAGGATCAAAAGTAGTTTTCGGTGGAAACGATCGATATGGAATGACAAAAAGGAACCGGCGCAATTGTGAAAAATGGTCTACGAATTGATGACGTATCTTATGTCGAAGGATTAAAATTTAACTTGTTTAGTACAAGTCAATTTTGCGACAAAGGATATCTCGTAGAATTCTACAAAGGCAAAT